CTTCTAAAGAAACCAAAACAGAGTTATTCTAGAAATAGATTATAATAAAAAGTTCTACAAACATGAATTTCATCTTTGACAGCTTTAAAATTATTCTAAAAACAAAAATTCACGTGTAGGACCCAAAGCATGGACACTGGTGGCTTCAATTCGGGTCGGGAACACTAGTCGGGTACTGGCCCGTTTCTTTGTTCACGCACCTGAGGGAGCATGGGAACATGGTTCAGTTCGGTGGCGAGATCGTGAACACAAGACCAGGTGGTTCACATACTTTGACCCAAATGGGCAGTGGCCATTTTGCCGGTGAAGGTTTTGGAAAAGCATCTTATTTTAGGAATCTTCAGATGGTAGATTGGGACAATACTCTTATTCCAATATCTAATCTTAGAGTTCTTGCGGATCATCCCAATTGTTATGACATAAGAGGAGGAGTAAACCGGGTTTGGGGTAACTATTTTTATTACGGAGGACCGGGTAAAAACGCGAAATGTCCATAGAGAAAAAAAAAGAAGAAGACAATAGTGTTTTTGAGCATACCTAGATGAGATTTTTTTTTCCATTTTTGGGATTGAGGGCTCGGGACAAAGATCCTGAGGTTTTTTTGGTTTGTAAGAAAAGAAATGTACCGATTGATTAATGTTATCAAATGTGTAAATGGCGAATGTGAAGACATGGTTGTGCCGGTGTGTATATTTTTTTCTTTTCTTAGCTAGTTATGTATTAAACAAAATCTCCCAATATTTTTTTCGTAGTGCTATCGTTGACTGATGTAGATCTTCTTTGAGGTTTCTCTAGTGACTTGATTTGGTTAGATCTTTCGTAAATTCTTACTAATTTAATATTTAATTTAAAAATGACTTTCCAAGTTCTGAACGAAAACTGAGTTTTAGCCTCTTCGAATTCATAATTTGAATTTTAAGATTCTAGATTTTCTACCTTGAAGATTCAAACACAAGACTTTCCAAATGTTTTGCAAAATATATCATTAGACCAAAGACTTTTCGGACATAACAAAATGTATGGATAACTTTTTTTACATTTTTTTAGGGATTAATTGACGCAAAGTTTTTCATTTGTTTATGAACTGTGTCACAAAAAATACATACTTTTGAAAACTTATTAACTAAATTACACACTTTTTGTTATTAGAGTTTTTTTTTTTCACTTTTTCTACTAGAAAAACCGAAACTGCTATGGAATAAGAACAAATCTCTCTGACGATTTTGTCTCTTTCCTGGTTCTCCATCTCTTTCCCTCAACTATAAGTAGGAAAAAAGATCCATCTATAAACGTTTAATTCTCAGCAAATCCAACACAGAAACCACGAAAATAGGGTTTTTAATCCATCTATTTATTTTGGAGGAGAAGATACAACGAAGAAACAAGATACAGAGATTGGTTTTGAAATTGTCGCTGAAGAAGAAAATGAATTAGAGTGGAATCAAATAGCTTTACTTATTCTCTCGCTTCGAGTGTTCTCTATCTTCTTTATGCTTCTGATTTGTTTAATTCCAATTCTGGAAAAATCGCCTCTATGTGGATGAAACGAAAAAACTCATATATTTGAATGGTAATTCAAATCACTAGTCTCTTTTAAAATTATGGTCTATCAGTATCCATTAGTTACGAGTTTTTATTCACATTCAATTTAAACTTTTCATCTGCTTTTTTTCGATTTTGGATTTTGTTCCATGAAGTAGGATTTGTTAATCTTGTTTAGTATTGTTCAATCGTTATTTTTAAATCTTATTATTCGATTTGATATTGGAGCATTACAAAAATTGATCATGAAGTCATGAATTATTTGCATTTTTGTATATCCAACATGTTTTACAAGTGACCTAATATGGATTGGTGCTTATAGACCTGCTCAAGTCTTTGTTTTTTTTTTATGTGTTGAAAATCAACCGAGATTAGTCAAGAGATTAATGTTGAAGGGTAACTTTAAGCTAAATCGATCATTGTACTAGTTATGAGATTGATTGTGTATGATGGATGGTGTGGAACTGATGGTAATATTATGGATTATGGTGCTAAGTAACCATGATATTTTGACCATTTTTATTATGCATATATATGAATAAATATACTTTGTAAAACATACTGGAGAATGTCAAAAGAAACTTATACCATCTTATCTAACACGGGTCGGGAGTAAAAAGACTTAATTTAAAGATATATAATGCATTTGAAAACAAACAAAAAATTATAAATAAATATCTATTTACCAACATTGGGAAAAACTAATAATAATATAGAAAACAAACTTATTTTCTTTATTTTCTTTATGAAATATTGTAATTTCAAGATTTTTAACTATTTGCTTCAATTGGTAAGTCATGGTATAAAATCGTGATATTTAGATTCTTTGGTTGATTCCTCTATTTATAAATTGCTCAAAATTCCGTGTGTTAAATAATTAAGATACTAAACACCTACACACTTGGCGTCGTCTTCTTGATTTATCTCTTCATCGGTGGACATTGTTGCCATTGGTACGCTTTTCTTGGTAACTGTGGGGGTCGAATTTCACCCCCGTGAGATCGATATAGCTATAAGGCCATCTTCGTAGCATCTTGACTGAATCAGAACGAATCTACAGAGGTCCACTCTGAATCTAGGCCCAAAATGACATTAAACTTATATACAAAATGAGCTTAATGGATTAATGGACCTAATTTTAATATATTGCTTAATGGGCCAGATCCATTTTATTAGTTGGCCCATCTTACTTAGAAGTACTATATATAGTTCATTACAATCACCCACAAAGGGGATCGATTCATTTGTAACCAGAGCTTGAGCAAAAAATAGCAATAAAACATTTCTTCGACTTTTGCTTTGTGATTCATACTTAGAAGACTCAGTCCTCCTTTCAACTCTTGACAAATTTAACTGTGTAGGATCTGCCGTCCACAGTGACCTATGTCTGAGTTCTCTAAGTAAAGTCTCATATGTTTAGTCTCTCCGCCGAGTCTAATTCATTTGTTGAAAAATTGCTCGAAATTTTAATCCGTCTGTTGCATATCAATTCTTATCTTCGCGATTCTTAACTTTGTCTTAGCTATTTGTCTTCTTTGAACATCGTTGCCATTGGTTTGCATTTCCGAGGGACATCTTTCTTAGCTCTTTAAGTGATGTCTCATCTATTGAGTCTAATTTTTCAGTCTAATTCATATGTTAAAAAATTTTCTTAAAGATTTTATTCGTCTGCTGCGTCTCAGTTCTCATCTTCGTGATTATTGGCTTCGTCTTCACGATTTGTTTCTCTTGTTCATCGTCACTGGACATCGTTGCCATTAGTATGCGTTTTCATGTGACATCTTTCTGGGCTCTTAAAATAACATTTCATATCTCGAGTCTATTCGTTGAGTCTGATCTATTTGTTGAAAGGTTATTTGAAGATTTAATTCGCTAGTTTGTCTGAGTTCTCATCTCTGTGAATCTTGGCTTCATCTTCGCGATTTATCTCTCTTGTTCACGTCACTAGACATTGTTGTCATTGATCTATGTTTCCCTACAAAATCTTTTCTTTCGAGTATATTCGTCGAGTTTCATTCATTTTTATTCAAGTGCATGTTTAAAAGTTGCTCGCAAATCTAATTCTTTTGTTGCGTCTCAATTCTTATGTTCGCGATTCTTGGATTCGTCTTGGCGATTTGTCTCACATTTTCATCTTTAGTGGACATTGTTGCGATTAGTGTGTGTTTCTCGGGGACATCTTTTTGAGCTCTTCAGATAATGTCTCATCTCTCGAATATGTTTGTCGAGTCTTGTTTGTTTGCCGAGTGTCGTTCATGTGTGAGTCTTCTTCAATTTCTTATGCTTATATGCATTTTCAGGTGATATTGTTCTAAGATGTCTAGTAAATGTCTCATATCATGAAGAACAAAGAAAAGCTTGGCTCTTTAGGTAACCTCTCAAGCCCCCGAGTCTGTTTGCCGAGTCTTATTCATCTATGAGTTTGATTAAACTTCTTTTCATTTTGTTTCAAAGAGCTACGAATCGAAACTGAAAACATGTGGGCCGAAGAGGATAATGCTCTTAATTATAACACCTAGTCAGAAAATATCATTCTAATTAAATTGTCATTGCCCAAGTCGTCTTCCTTGCAAAATGTAGCAGTTAGTTTGGGAAAATACAATACCATCCCGGTGAGCGTTTGTAAATAAATAGGACCAACACTACCAAACAGCTAAACCAAGACTTGCTACTTACACATAATTTACTAGTAACAACTATGGTCGATGATAGAAGGCCTCCATCCTCTACTATACTTTTTGCTAAAAAGCTTTCATCATTCATCGAGTTTGTGTCTCATGTTTTTCGTGTTTAGTGTGTGTGATATTCGATTGTGATTTTCCTTTTATGTTTTGCAGTGATTTAGACATACCTGCGATAGTCAACAGATTAAAGATGCTTTTCTAGTTGTTCGATAATTAGTTATTTCCAAGTCGATGAATCGAATTTAGGACAAAATATTTCCATACTCTCTTCTTTGACATGGGATTTCACAGGGCATCGATGTTACATAGATGCCTCTTTGACGAAGGCAATTATGATTTAAGGTTTAGGTTAGTTTTGTTTTCAGACGACATAAATGGATCATCTATGGAGGTTATAAATTTACGTGTAAGCCTCTCATGACTACACTCTGAATTGTAAATATTTTACCTAAGCCATGACATATATGAGTACATAAAAAATAACAATATTTTTGCAACAAACTGCTTCCCAATTAGTGAAGTTCCTATCTATACAACAAAATGCCATGTTTTTTCGATACACATGGATGAATTCATGGAAAATAATGATTTGTGTTTGTTTCTTTGTACTTTTATTCCACATAATTCAAATTCGAAGGCTTTGATGGTTTAAGTGAGAGAAGCGTTTTTATATGCGAGACAATTATGTGATTCCATTCAACATAATTTTAGCCTTTTATTTTTGAATAAAAATAAAAAACAAGGAAGGAGAAAAAAGTGTGAACATAAATTATGCATGGAACAAATGGAATGCATGTAGAAAAAAAAACAACTATTAAAGTGTGGTTAGAGCATCTCCAAGACTCCAACCAAACACAAAATCCTACACCAAACCTAATTTTTGGTGTAAAAGTCTCTCCAATCCAACACCATTTCCAACACCAAAATTGTGTAAACTTATTTTTTACACCATTTTGGTATTGAACTTTTTTATTTATAAAAAAGTTCTTCAAATTTTAATCAACTTTAAAATTAATGAAAAACATATACAAATTGTGATGGTTAAACTCAAAATCTAATATGTTTGATAATAATTAAATAAAAGCTTAATATATTTTGTTATTTTATATGTTACAATGTATTTCTTTTATATAATAAATGTTAAATTGAATTTATTTCATAATGTTTTAAACTTAAAAAAATAAGTGGGATTAATTTGTAAATTTTAAAGAATTGAAAAAGAGAATTTATTAAGAATATTTTATTTTGGTGTAAAAATTAGTGTAAACCATTGGAGTAAAACCCAATACCATTTTGGTGTTACCCTATTTTTGGTGCAAAAAATGGTGTAAACCATTGGAGATGCTCTTAGTGCGTTCCATTTTCTTTCTTTTCTTGAAATTAAAAAATCTAAGAAATTATGCTACATATTATATTATGTCAGTTTACACATATGTTATTAGAAATGTATAATTTCAAAAAAATTTAAATGTTAGAAATATTTAATTAAATTTTATTAATTAAAGTTTTGTGATTATCATTATTCAAAAATTGTCTCGAACCGCTTAATCCACACTAATACCATTTATTTTGTATGATGTGTTTCTCTTGTAAAAACCGCAGTTAAATAACACCGGCTTATCTCATTTGTTAATTTCATCATGTTTGTTACACTCTTCGTTTCGAAATAGTTGTCATTCTAAGTTGTTTTACATATATTAAGATAATATATCAATTTTTGTCAACAATATATCAATTTTTTATCATACTATCTTGATATTCTTCATAAGACTTGAGGTTAAATTCGTTATTTAAAGCTAAAATTTATATGTTAAAAAAGGTTAAAATTTACATTAAAAAATAAATTGAAATTAAAAAATTAATGTTAGAACGACAACTATTTTGAAACAGTGAGAGTATCAACATTCAATATAAATTTTGAACTTTAAAGAAAAACTAATGGACACCAATTTTTGTAGCATCATGTTCAAAAGATTATAATTTATCACACATAATTTACTTCTCCAGTCTTCGGCATAAGGGTGGTTTTTTCAAAAAAACTATATAGCATAAGATTTTTTTTTTTTTTAGGTTAAAGATATAGTGATATAGCATAAGACTAAAAAATTGTAATTGCATTTGAGTAATTGATTCAAATAAAACAATGAGTAAATAAAACAAATACAAATATGCTTTCATGAACCACTTTGATCAATTTCATCACTTGTCAGCGAACCATTTTAGCTGGTGCATCCAACACATACCACTATGTATTTTCCGGCTAAAAAGACATCAAATAAAAACAATAAGAAATGAGTATGTGAAATGAAAATTAACATAGAATGATAAAAAAATGCATATTAGAACTTGAGACAAAACACCTTTATAGGAAATATATGGGCAAACAAATAGTTAGCCACCAAAAAAATAGTTAGAAGATTCATAATTCGATCGTAATCTAAAAGTAAAAAAATATACATCTGCGAACCATATTTTGAGATGTGTTGACAATGGAGAATTGGATTCTTTATAAAGGGAATGATGATTGGTTGAAAGGGCAAAATCAATCTACATATCTAAAAATAAAAATTCAAATTAAGAGAAATTTGCTTTATAATTGTAACAAACAAATCTTAATAAAATATCAAATTTACTTGCCCTATCGAATATGAGCTTAAATAACATGGCTTTGTTATTTCAGTATCTAGTAGTTTTATTCTAGAACAATCAATTATAAATAGTGAATTTCAATATCTTAATTATTTTTCAGAAAAAAATACATTTGAATTTTTTTTTTGTTAAAGGTTTGTCTTACAAAATCAGAATTTAAAAACAATAACTAAATCAATTGATTCGACAAAACAACTAAAGTATCTGTTGAGTATACTCTAAATATATACTAAAACCAACCCTAAAGTGTAGTTACACTTCTTCACCAATTGGATAATACACGTAATTTTTTTTTTTTGCTAAACATACACGTAAAGAATATTAAATATACATTTGGGTATTTAGATATTCTAAATAGATAAGAAAACTTAGCCTAATCAGAATTTAATACAAAACCAAGTTAGCTAATCAAAAGATTGAAAACCGGAAGTTGATACAAAATTCAGAACTGGAGTTTGATACACGACTAGTCAACGCATGTTATGTTCTCAAATAGTTTTTAATTTCAATATTGTCATTTGTTACTTAGAAATCTTGAACCAAGTTAACCGGCTTCTTTGAAACAAAACCAACACATTTTAATGGTTATAAGTTTCATAATAGTATTTCAGATGTTGCCATACATAATTACGGTTCAGATAACTTATTTGATAATTAAACATTTAGTATTAATTCAATAATTTAAATAACTTATAACTATGTCACCTTTTATTGAAAAATATGTCATAATTTTAGGTCAATTAAATTAAAACATATAAGAAAACTGAATAATAGGACGGAGATCTCCAAACATTTTAGTTAATTAAAATTAGTGAAAAAAAAAACAAATCTCCAAACAAAATACAATCGTGGACGTGTGTACGACGACTGATAACAATTCAACGTGGTCCACCCAAAGCTTATGCTAAATTTCACGAAACATGAAGCGTTCTCCAGACAGTTCCATCTACTACTCCTACTATTATACCAACCAAACGTTATTTTATTTCATTTTTAAAATTGTTTATTCAAACAGTTCTACAGTATTGTTCAGATTGCGGAACCATATCTCTTTGGGACCCACTTTATTTCCCTAAATAAAACGTGGCGTCCCCGCAGAAGAATCCATCAATCGAGAAACTCAAAACAGTCTTCTTTCGAGCTTTGATTTTCTCTCTCGTACGCGTCTTTCCGAGATAGGAAAAACTTATTTCCTCTAAGAAAAAACAAAAAAAGAAAACTTCTGAAGAAAAAAAGCATGAAGTGTGAGTCTTTCATTGGTCGTTAGGC